AGTATTAAGATTGATCACTGAATTAATTGGCATCATGAAGAGCTAAATATTTTCCACGTTTTACAAGGTGTACAAAGATAAATTAGAACAAGGGAGTAAATAAACGACAGAAGTAAAATATTTTTGTTATTCAATTGTAATCTACGTGTAATTATATTACGAAAGTGTTATGATTTTCTCAGTTCAAATGTAGAGTAGGTTTTAACTTGGAAAGACGTCACTGTGAAGTTAAGCATTACAAGCAGCAATAGGAGTCTCTGTGGAATTATGTACAGCAAGCATATTTAGCTGAAATACCTCTATAAAGCATCTTGATGCGTAATGCCATAAAATTTATGTACGTTTCGTACGCTGTCTTTACATAGCTGTGTGAATGTTATATATGATTACACAAAAGTTACACAATAAATGTATATTGTGAAGCGGATCATTATAAATTGACGAGAAATATAGAAGGAGCGCACTTATGTGAATAATTAAGTGTAAAAAACAACAACAACAAGTAATCACGTTAAGACTGAGTATACACTTATAAGATCAGTCTACACTATGTTTTGCCGTTTCCGGCTGTATATTTATTTATTTTAACGATAGAAAACAGAAACCGGACCTGATGACTTATGACATAGTTCATTCACAGAGGGCGTTAACGACTAGTGAGTGAAGATGAATGACCCCTGTAGGTTGTTCTGTGTGGGTGTTTGCAGGTTCGACACATGTGTTATATATTGAGTTGAAAATTTAAATCATCAAAGTTACACTTTACATGGTACCTTACAATCATCTGGCAGACAAAAATAAAACTAAACCGGGTGGCCATTAATTTTTGGCTCTCCCTGTATTTTTACAGAAAAATAGTGACGAAAGATTTCAAGAAAATGGAATATGTAAAGAATAATGTATTTGAATGAATGCACACATCTATTAAAAAAGTAGGCAGTCAATTTAGTAATTCTAGGAAATAGTTAACATATCATTAAATCAGCTGTTTTGTAGGATAGCTTCGCGCACTGACCTTGAGATACTGATATTCGTGTAAAAAGAATTACGTGTATTTTAATCCCTTTGAAAAATGGCTAGTATTTTATGTTACAGAAAGAGATTCGATACATTTTCTCAAGCTTTTCTTCCCGATATTATCAAGTTTAAAATGGCACTGAAGAACAACGAGTGACACAAAGTTTCGTAGAGCATAACAGGCCAAATTAGGATGATTTCTAAATCTTAAAGGTGTTAAACTAGTTTGCCAAAACGTATTTCTCTCCATTCCTATATATATATATATATACATATATATATATATATATACACACACACACACACACACACACACACACACACACACACACACACAC